TTGACTCCTAACCTTTGTGTTTTCACCAGCTGCTCAGCAGGAGCCTGACTTTGGCCACCTGGAATGGGGGCTTCTTCCAAAAGAGCCTGTCTCACACTTGTCCCACTTCTGAGCCTGAACCTGTTCTCCTCAAGGTCACTTTGAATCTGGCACGCTCTTCAACATGTGAGCCTTGCTGACACTGTCTTTGGTTCAACAGAGTTAAAAAAAGAAAAGGAATTGATGGCTTGGCAATTGTAAGACATACCCTTAGAACTTTCCCTTTTGAAAAATAATTGTTCTGTATATAGACATTTCTGTTTTTAAATTTTGAACTAGCTAAACAAGTACTAACCATGTGATCTCTTTGGGGAAAGTAGAAAAATTTTCCATGTCAATGGAAAATGTGTATTGCTTATGGCATACCTTTCTAAGTTATCAGATCTTTGCTCTGTTTGGTGTCTTTGAGACCTAGTCATTCTTTATAAGTTATAGGTAACTGATAAACATATAAATTATATTTATTTATTTTTATTTATTTATTTATTTTTTGAGGCAGGATTTCACTATGTAGCCCAGGCTGGCCTCCAACTCAGAACAATCCTCTTGCCTTAGCTTTCTAAGTGCTGGGATTGCAGGCATGCACCATTCACATCCATCACACATTCTGTTCCATTTTATTTTATTTTTCTATTTTTTCCCACTTGTGATTTCCTTTGCATTTTTATATTTTATAAAGTAATGATTTTAATTAACTTCCCCCTCTTGTGGAAAAACCAGTTTTGTCACTATTTGCAATAATTCTATGGGATAAAAGATGTTCCTTGTTGTTTAAATTGTGTTTTTAGTGTTAGGTTTTTAGGGCAATAAAAGAGCAAAGTCTAAAAGTAAAAAGTAGCCTTTATTCTAAGGACATGGAGAGGAGTCCATGACTATAGGCAGTCTTGGTTCCTCTGACTGGAATGTGGGGTATGGGATATACATACAACCTCAGACTGGGGGTGGTGCTTAGAGCAGGCATTGATGATATGTGAGGAGCTGATTGGAACTTTTTTCAGATGCACTGGGAAAAAGGAAGTTGTAATAGGGGAAGGAGGAAGTGACCTCAAGGTAAACATCCTCTGATTCCACCTCCCACTGCCAATCCTGTAATTTATTCTAGGACAAAACTCTTTTATTGTTAGGAAAAGGATGAAGTCTCTCTCTTATTACTTCCTGCCGAAAGGCGGGGGGTGAATGTTATTTTTTCTTTTGATTTTTATCTCTGTTGTTGAAAACATGAAGTCATATTAAGAAGGTTTCCCTGTGAGGTTTGAGGGTCAAGTTTAGCCTTTTGTCTTGGGATCTGGCCCACAGTGGAAGGTATCTGTTTCTTTCACAGTCACCTTGGGTAGATATGAAGCTCTAAGTCTAAAGGAGACAAAGGCAAAGAACCAATTAAGTATGCAGGAGTCAAATAATAGAATCAGTAGGGTATTTATAAGTATAATTTTAGTAATGGCTTCCCATAAGGAGGATAAGGATAAGGTCCAGGGAATTTTAGAAACTGACATGTCATTCATTTGTCATATACACATTTAGGTTTTACAATTTTATAAGTATCTCCTGTGCTGTTAGAATGTCTAATGTCATCTTATTTTGAAGGATGGCCTGTTTTATTAATTTTACCTTTTTTATTTAGGAGAGAGATCAACTGTGGTGTCATTTAAGGCCAGTTGAATGTAGTTAATTATGGCCCCAATATGCGTCATAAAGCCTTTTCTGGAAAAGGTCTGGTGGATCCCAGTAAAAGAAATCTAAAAAGAATTTACTATATTTGTTATGATGCCTTGGGGTTTGGTGCCTTTTTGGCAAGAGTAAACTTTAATCAGAGCATGCATAATCAAAGTATAAAACATGTATAGTCAAAGCATGAGCAGTAGGGCTGATGGTTAAGTTTAGAAACTTCTATTAGGTTATAATAATTGTAACTTGTTGGCTCTTAGGTCCTTTTGTTGATGGACATCACATAAATTTTTGTTTAAAAATTATCATTTGACTGATGACCTCATGTTGATTTGATTTGAATCTCTTGGCTGGAGCACAAGAAAAAGGCAGATATCTGAATCTGAAAGAAAATATTTATCATCATAAACAATCCCAATTTTATATTTGAAGGCATGAATATACCATCAGATCAGCAACAATGAATTGTCTTAGTCATATGAACTTTAGTTGGAGTGTCTCCCACAAGGCTATGGAGATTATTGGGGCCTCCAATTAATGAACAAGAGCTGGTTAAAGTTACCAGCTTTCTTATTAATCAGTTGAAGTCCTGTCCAGTGTCTCCTCACCCCAAGGGATTTTGTTTAACCAATTTTAGCATCATTTTGACCAGCTGGCAACCTAGGTAGAAGCATGTTTTTTAATCTATAACCCAAATAAACCTTAATTAAATGATCTGAAAATGTAAAAGAGGAGGGAAAAAGATTGTTGAGCTCAAATAAAAAGGAACAGCTGTTTAAAGAGCAGGCAAATGGGCAAAAATGGACAGAGGATCTGTACAGTATAAACAGACTGCACAAACACACAACAGATATATAGACTGACAAACGTTACAAATTTAGAGTGTAGTCAAATATATTTGTCCAATTTGAACTATAATAAATAGACTAGTGTGAACCTTTTTGTAGATTAATTAATAGAGATCTCTTGAAGTAAGAACAGCGAAAAGGAACTTAATTTATGGTTACTCTGAGTTAAGTCAGAGAGGGGAAAAAGAACATAAATATGAACTAATCCCTCAGGACCAGCCTGTAGATGGCTGGGGCTGGTCCCATGATGAGGGACTACAAGAGGGCAACTGTTCTTCACACGAGCTGCAGCAAGATGGCTGCTGAGAACCCTGTGGCTTGCTGGAATGCTGGAACGCATGAAACCGTGTATGGTGGGCCAGTGGAGAAAATGGCGATGCAGGGGAAGGGTAGAGATGCATCATCTAAGGGGTCTGGTGGAGCAGAGCAAGCCAGAAGTATTTGGGTCATCATACAAGACAGAGTGAGAGAAGGACACATCCTTAAAGTGAAAAAGGCTTACAAATGAAGGGTTTCTGCCAACTTGCCACCATTGTGACAAAAGCATAAATAAAAGATCAGCTTTATGGTTTTCATAGCCTTCTTGAGGCCAAGAGCACCAAGGTTATGAACCAGGCACCCCAGAGGTGTGTTTTTCAGGAGACGGGAAGTGGTCCCCATGACCAAATTATAAGGAGCTGAGAGAACAACTTTGCTTTGGGACGCAGGAGCGTTAGCTCCCCTCCAAGGAACATAGAAGCTGTCATAAATCACACCTATCAAAAAGTCATCACCTGTTTTGAGAGTGTGACCCAGAAAGTCCCAACACCCATCCTCCTTGGCCATCACCAAAGAGTGCGGGTGGGTCCCAGGGAACAAAAATAACAGTTTTGCCTTAGGCTGTGTGGCCTAAGGAGCGTGAAAACTGCTGTCTTTGTCCAGGGATGGCAAGGATAGGTTTTCTGACTTGCAAGCTTGCAAATTTTAGGAAGGGAAACAGAAAAACCCCTGCGGCAGCTCACCTGTGATGAGTGAGGATGGTCTCAGTTGCATGCGGATTAGCAGCAGCAAGTAACCAGTCCTGGAGGAAAAAAATAGGTGGTTCATAGGCAGGGTAGCTCCAACTGGGAGGGATTCCCAGGGGCTAATGCACTCTGCCATCCAAATCACAGCACTATTATATTAGTGGTTTTGGCCCAATAAAACAGCAAAGTATAAAAGTAAAAAATAACCTTTATTCCAAGGACGTGGAGAAGAGTCCATGACCATATGCAGTCTGGGTTCCTCTGACCGGAACGTGGGGTATGGGATACACGTATAACCTCTGACCACGGGTGGTGCTTTGGGTGGGTATTGATGACATGCAAGGAGCTGATTGGAACTTTTTTTGCGCGCACTGGGAAAGGCAAAAGGAAGTTGTAATAGGGAAAGGAGAAAGTGACCTCAAGCCACCCATCCTGTAATTTATTCTAGGGCAAAACTGTTTCATTTAGTAACTTACAGCCGAAAGTGACATGGCCTTGTGGGTGGTGTCAGTAATACTATCCTCTCTGCTCCACAGGGTTGATTAAAAGTTCTTTGAAAAGTGTTTGATGAGGCTTATTCTAAATGCTGATATAAACTAAGTAAGAAATATGATGGGTACACCCTCGGATATACACCTTTCTGAGTCTAAACCTTAGAAAATGAATTAGTTCATAGACACTTGTTCTAAACTTTAATATAACTGTAGTTTTTGTTTTTGATATTAACCAACAAAACCTGATCTCATTCATCTGTTTGCATTAGACTGGAAAATGGCTATTGGAACTCAGGGGAAAGAATCAAGTAGAGAGACCTTTAGTAAATAGTAAAATCACAAAACATTTCCAATGATTTTAATGTGTAGCTAGGTTTGAGAATATTTGGCTGAGAAATAGAGAACACACCAGAATGTAACTAATTGAAAGAGAAGAGAGTTGAGATATCAAATCTTAATACTAAAATGACTGAACCCCACGCCAAGAACCAGGACATACACCACAAGGTCAACACAAGGGGTTTTAATCAAAGGAACCAGTGGACCAGGGCAAGGCGCGCAGGGCAGGACTGAGCAGGGGTCTTATTGACAGTTAAAAGGGGGGTAGGTATTGTTTCAGTCATGGGCTGAGAGCTGTGGGTGACTGTTGTATTTTCTGTGTAACTTGTTTTTCTCTGGAGGAGGTTGCCAGTGGGGCTCTCTGTTACAGGGGCATTTCCTTGTTCTTGTGGTTAGGCTCTTGCAATGTGGCAGCAGACCTTTTGTCCCTATGTTTGGGCTTTTACAATGGTGGGAGAAGCTGATCATTGTCAGCCAGATCTATCACTTAAAACTGAGAACAACCCTCTAATTTGAAAAGAAGGGTGAGTGGTGAACACACTATGATTTCTGTTACCAGATTGTCTTCCAGCCAAGCCCTATGGATAAGAATCCTGGAAAGGGAAGAGAATTTGCAACTGATAAGATGATCAGACTCCTTTTCTTGAGGGAGCTCAGGGTGTGAGGGCTCAAGCAACAACATTCTTGGCAGTGTATGCAGCCTGTTGCATATATGGGTTACCCTAAAGGACCTTGAAGACAGGTCTTTCTAATGAGTGCTAATGGGTCTGAAATCCTACTATCCCTAATCTACACTGCAGAAAGGACTACAAGGTGCCTTTGGGAAGCCTCAGGGCACAGTGCACAGCTTCACAGTGGACATGTCATTCTTTCCATCTGTACTAAGATGCAGAACAAGGAGCATGTGATGGAGATTCAGAAAGACAGGATCACCTCCAACTTCCCTGAACATCAGAAGATCAAAATTTTAAAAAAGAAAAACTATCTAGTTTACTAAGTTGAATTTAAACTTTGATGCTTGAGAAATGGTTAATTCTGGATGGTTGTAAGGTCCAATATAACCTGAGTCCTGCCCACCCAAATAAGATGCCTCTACCCTTATGAGGGCTTGCATTGTGTTCCCCCCTCTTTACTCAGGCCCACTGGTGAATTTTACTTCATGTCTGAAAAAGCAAAAGAGCAAATATAAGCTTAAAGAATGGAATTCAGAATGGCAGGTTGAAAGGCATTGAATATTCTTCTTCAATTCTTAGTGAAGTACAAATTGAAGATGAATGCTAACAGACAAAACCAATCATCAGACTAGAAGAATGGACTCAAATGAAGATCAAATTAAGAAAGACTGAAACAAAGGATTCTCCCAGAGTGTTGGAAAAGAGGAGTGGGAAGAGTGGACTCATGAAGATAGCTCTGACGTTTCCAATAACTATTAGAAACCATTCAGAGATTTAGAAAATATATTTAAAAAATGGAATTTTAAAATCTCATGACTAAATAAATGAGTTCCACAAAGGCCTCTTGAATACCAAGCAAAATTAATGAGGGAGAAAATCCCAGTGTTTCCTACTGTTAAATCTGAACTTCAAGAACAAAGAGAAAGTCCTGAGGATTTATAGTCAGGAAAAGGGAACAGATTACCTACACTGAAACAGAACCACCACCAATAGATTGTGAGAAAAAATGGAGTAGCTCTCTGCCTAGCCAATTATAAATCAAGAATGGTAGAAAAATAAAACATTTTCAGATACACAAGGACTTGGAAAGTTTAAATGCTACAGACTGTGTGTGAAAGGTTGAGATTACAAAAAAATAATAAAAGAAAAAGTCATAGAATATAAGGAAAAGGTACTAAAATACTAATAAAGCATATTTAAGTTCAAATCTTCTTGATAATGTGGATGAAAAACTTAAAGTAGTTGTTAAAACGTTGTTGCTAAGAAAGTAAATATACCGGGAAAGATTGAGAAAAGATGGCAGATAGATAACAGCAGCTATAGAGGCTCTCTGAGATAGCCAGCTTAGATTCCAGGAATGGTGTGGCGTGGGGAGTCCTAAGCAGTGGGAGATATATCCTGTTGACCCAGGAATGAACTAAGAGAAACCAATTGGAAATGCAATCCCTGTGCTATGATTGGAACACCTAACGTTTAGGTTCTACCACTAGAACTCGCGAATTGAACTCACTGCTGCTGCCATGCCTGAATTGGCACAGCCAGAATAGCCCACTAGTTTCAACTCACGGGAGACGAGAACACTCTGAGAATAGAATCGGTGAACCAAATGGAGAGCAGAGCTGACGGGGAACCCTGCATCGACCTGCGGTGAGTGAGAGGAATAAAGACCTTTCCATAGACAAAGAAGCTCCAACAGAGGACATTCTGGGACCAGGCAGACTGGCTGGAACAGGGCACTGCAGTGACTTCAGTCACATAATCCCCTCTCAAGCGGAATTGTTGGGGAGCGCTTGACCTGGGTGATGGCATGGACTGAGGCCCAATAGGCTAGCCCAAACCAGGTCCCTGTGCCTGGCAGTGCACCCTAAGGCAGTGAAGCCTTAAGTAAGTTGACCTGGAGGAGCGGGTCCAACATAGGCTGCTGGGTTTGTACCTCCTAGTACACTGCAGTGGGTAGGACCACCTAGTCAACGTGCCTCAGACAAACTGAAACCAACAAAGAAAGAAACTGGCCCTCTGATATATGCTTGTATGGAAAGAACAAAAAATATGAGAAGAGGAGGCAACAAGAAAGGGTCCTCAGTTCCCCATCCTGAGAACACTGATCCAAGAAAGGTAAATGCAAAGGAAAATGAGGACAGAAAACATGCAATATCATGCATGGCACCAATAGACATCAAGTGATATCTTCGGGATCTCATAGACAAGTTCAAAAGTGAAGTATTTAAGCAAGTAAAGCAAGATATAAATAGAAAAATTAAAGAAATGCTAAGCATCTCCTAAGAAAAAACAGATGGTAGAATGGAAGAACCAAAAAAAAGTGGGGGGGGGGATTGTTTGAAGGAGAAAATAGAGAAAACGTAGAATACATGAAGCAGGTTCAAAGAGATTACCAGGAAACTAAAAACTCTATTGCAAGCTGGCATAACAGCTTGAAAGAAACTAAGGATAGATTATCCAAACTGGAAGACAGGTTTGTAATGTGGGAACATGAAAGGAAAAACTTCTTAAAAATGACAAGGAAAAAAGCAGTAACAATACAAAGGCTAGAAGATGACAAAAGAGTTGATAACTTAAGAATAAAGCATGTGAATGAAGAAGCCAGGGTACAAACAAAGGAACTGCAAAGGCTAGTCATAGAAATAATCAAGGAAAACTTCCCAAACATAGGAAAAGGAAAAGATGCTCAGATATATGAGGCATACAGAACTCCAGCCACCTACAATCAAAACAGAACTACACCCAGGCATATAATAATCAAGATTCCAGAAATGCAACATAAGAACAGAATTTTTCTTTTTATCGGTACCAGGGATCGAACTCATGACTGCCTACTTGCAAGGCAGGCACTTATGCCGCTGAGCTAAATCCCCAGGCCCAAGAACAGAATATTAAAAGCTGTCAGATACAAGAAATAGATCACTTACAAGGGAACACCCATCAGAATTACAGCAGACTTCTCAGCACAAACCATCAAATTTCAAAGAGCATGGGGTGAAATAATCCAAGCCTTGAAAGACAATAACCTCCAGCCAAGATTGATATATATCCTGTACAACTGTCCCTAGAAATCAATGGAGAAGCAAGGTGCTTCCGAGATAAAGAGGAACTGGGGGAAGTCAGAATCACCAGTCCACCTCTACAGAGAATACTATAGGACATTCTAAAGAGAGAGAAAAGTACCAGGATTCTAGAAACAGTGGCAGAGAGGCCACAAGGAATGGAGCAGAAAATAAAATGAAGACAAACAGACAACTAATGACAGAAAAAGAGCACAACAGAAATGAGGCAAAGAATGTTGGATATAATTTCTAATGTAGATGGCCTATATACGCTAAATTAAGGGGGAAAAGAGAGAATCACAGGCAGAGTGAATCAAGAGGTAGGGTCCACCAAGAGGCTCTTTTTAGGAAGCATAATTAGCCTGAAAAAGGTTATATGGACCAAAATCATATATGAGAAAATGGAACTCAATGTGATAGGGAACCAGAGAGTAATAGGGGTAACTAGACCAGTATTTATGGATAGGTTGAACAGACAGGCTTTAATAAATGAAGAACTATAACTAGAAATCCAGCCCAGGCGTGAGAAAGTTCAAAAACACTCAGGTAAATAGCAGGTTGCCTCCCCAATACAAAACCGTGAATGTTGGGGAGACCCAAAAATATACAGCTCATTCTGGGCGAGTAAAGGTGAGGAATAGTCTTTAAAAAAACAGCAGAAGATATAGCTAATAGAGTATCAGGAATTAAAACCCTTATTTCTTGCACCACTCTGCTTGGTTGGAACTTGTTCTGTCCTAGTTTGTATACAAGCACTAGATCTGAGGGCACAGACAGCTATCCCAAAGAAATCAGGACATAGAACAGTGGTCATCTTTAATTTCCTATTAACTCAATCAGGATCTCTGTATGACTTATGCTGTTGTATCATGACTGATCTCAGTTAAATCTGACTTGTTTGAATACTGCTTAATTTTGACAGATTTTAATCAAAACTGTTAGGTTGTTGGTATCAAGTTGAGGAGTATAGTCAACTATACTGCAAATGACAATGATTCACCATGATATCCATTCTGATTTGATTACTACCTGTTTTTGTAGCTCTATACTGTCTACAAAGTTGTATTTCTGTTAATTCTGTTATGTACTGATACATTCAATACTTTACCTGATGATATAGCCAATTCGGTTGATGATAACAAGAAACAGCACAGTGATCATGGTAGAACTCCTTATACAGCAGTTTTATATGTCTTTTAATTTTATGTGTCTATAGGAATGTGTTTAGTTCTGTCCTGATTTGTTCTGTTTCTCCCTCTAATATAGAAAGGATAGAAATACATGTTAAAACTCATGCTTGCATAAAACCTATAAACAGTTTATGAGAACTGATCTTATGACACATGATAAAATGAACAAATACTTTGAAGGAAGGAAAAGGGCACTGCAGTGCCCAGTGCTGATTCTGGAGTGTCATGATATGAAATGCAGCGATATTATTAATCTTTGTTCAGAAGGATTTTAATCTAATTAGTTTTGCTAGGTCTCAACATAAATGAAGATATGGATAAATGTGTACATGTTTAAATGTATAGGATTGATGGCCATATTACTTAGTTTTTGTTGGATAGTTGAACAGAACTGTTTGCAGTCTCCCTGGTTGGATTTCCATTTATATGTTCCACTTTTATATGGGGGGGGGGGAATATATATACATCAACTAGTGATTTATTACTGTTTATTTCTTTTCCTTGAAAGTATGTACTATTTCTGCCCATTTTCTATTTTGTTTTGTCTTTCTTTAAATAATAATAAAAAAGAAAATAAATACACCGTTAAAAATAAAACCAACTTATAGCAGCATTATTAATAAAGATATAATGCAAACTACAACTGAGTCACATATATAATTGCACAAATTTTCTAATATCTAAGTTAAAAAGAAACATTAATTTTAGTATGATTTTATCATTTCAAAAATATTATTGTTTCAAAAATAGCAATACAAGATTATGAACAATAGATTTTACATTTTAATGCTAAGTCTTTGAAATGCGTGGTGTATTTT